TGCTGTGCATTAGCATTGAAAACACGCAAACGCAACGCGACGTGGAGCGCTATCGAGAAAGAGAGGGAGTGAAATAAAAATTTCTAGCCAAATAACAATTTTGCCATCGATTTGAGCCGCCTGGATGTACTGTTTAACGGTAAGCTGTTGATGTGCGTTCATTCACATTTTCCATTCCAACTTTAGTCAAAGCTCACAATCATTTATTTAAGTGTGTGCGCGTTTTTTTTCCTTCTCTAATACATACATTTATATAGCATTTAACAAAAAAAACCAATCATATGACTGTAAAATGATGCGTCTTTGTCTTTTGGGGTTCGTCACGCAAGTTTTAATCTAATTAAAAAAAGATCTGCACCGATCTCGGGTGAATTTTGTTTGTTCATTTAGTTTTGTAAATAGAATTACGGTTGAATGTATCGTTTCAGCGCATTTTTATAAGTTCCTGTTGCGTTCGTGATAAAAAAACAATCAAGATTGCAAAATGAAACAAAAATAAATAAATAAGCATAGACACCACATAAAATTCGAATCGCTTACAGTTTACCGCATAGATCAAATATTTCGTGTTCATTTGTATAATATTCAATTTGAATTTGCAAATGCTTTATTATCAATGAAAAATGTGTTCATAGCACACAGCACATTGCGGTCGAATCGAACCGATAGTCATTTATTGTACTGCTGCTTTGGGCTAACAGACACATGTTGGATGTACAACTAATAAAATGAATTGACTTTTTTTGTGACAAATTATAATAAATTAATTCGAAAACAAATATAAACATTACATATAAAAACTCTCAAACGCGATGTAATGACATTTTCAAAGCAGTAGTCATAAAAATGAAGTATACAAAAATGTGTGCGACCGTAAGACATTTCGGTTGATTTCTTTTTAACTTTGTTTATGTGTAGTTATAAAAAAATTATTCGCTGAAAAAATATAAACTTGAGTTTATGTGTTATGTAGAATTGTTTTGTCTATTCTTTGTATTTCATTCTTATCAATTACCCCCCTCCCCATTCCACTGCCGAACACTGTCGTGTGCGTGTTCATGCATATTTTTTTTTTTTGAACGAATTTCACATGTAATTGTAATATATCAATATTAATTTCTGCATATCGTTTTGAAATGTGATTAAATAATAATATAATATTTTGCGATGAAATGTAAGCTAATATTATCGCTTTATATAACCGGATCATACTCCGTTCGATTTGAATAGAAATGTAAGTTCTGGCAACACACAATGTGCATTGATGATGTGCGTCATTGCCGTTGGCGTTGATGACATTATTGAATGGCTGGAAAGTTCTATGCGAGAAAAGCTACGGTGAATCCAACTTTATTTGGCAAATTAACGAATTTTCGAATGAATGGAAAATATTTGACGCAACATGAAGAAGCCACATCAGTGTGAAAATTGTAAAAATCGAAAATGCTAATTATCACAAGTGCATGTATATTGAACTATCACGACGTCCAAGTTGTGTATAGTTCCCGCAATGTGAAATTCATACTGTGGAATATTTCAGACACCGATTAATTTGTTATAAATATTGTGACTAAGTAAGTTTTTTTGGTGTCGAATTTCATCATTTTTTTATAGTAATGACAAAGGACACCTTTTTCCATTTTCATCAGACGCACAAACACCTATATATAGGAACGCGCACACAAGCTCACTTTCAGCAAGTGAACTTAATGTGTAGCCAACGAGTGAATAATTTGAATTGTTTATGGGTGTTTTGGCGGTGTCGTATATCGAAATGGTTTCTTCTTTCGGAACCAAATGTACTTTTGAATTGTATTTTAATAAGTATAATTTGATGGTGATGTTGTGTAGCTCTGTAGATCTCACAAAAGATTTCGATTTGTGGCATGCAACAATTGTGAAGACTGAACGAGGAATGGGTTGACAATTGTATCATGTACCTGACCATGGGGATGGACATAAATAGATATTTCAAAAAGAAATGGCCTCATTGACAACAAAAGTAGAAGAAAACACGAAGCATTTGCTTAAACACTTTATAGTCATCATTCCTGTGCCATTGAATATTTCAAGGAAATATTTAAATAATGAAAATGGAAAATCTATGTTGAATTTCGTTTGGAATTATTCAAGTTTGCTGTGGAGTTGAATCCACTGGCAGTCATTGGTTCTCAAAATGGGATTTTAAATCAAAATCAACAAATCAATTAAATTGACACTTCAAATTATTTGATTGTTTTTATTTGAAAATCATTGATTTGTGATTTGATTTGTTGATTTTCACATCAATTGATTTCAAATCAGAAAACCCTGCAATGCAAGACCCAAAGAAATCGTCAAATAAACCAAATATTGTAATATGTGTGTACTATTAGAGAATAAGAGAAAAAGTTGAGAATAATAGTGGCAAAAATGAATTGATGTTCATCCCCATGATCCATGGATTCAACTGAATCAATGAAGTGAAGATAAAATTGTGTTCATTCACCGAAGACACACCTTATAGATCACATAAAAAATGACATCGTACACACTACACATGGTAGATTCGCTTTGTAGCACAATAAAAATATTAATAATGTCTCGGTTTTTTTTTTTCGTTTGCTATTTGGTTTTGTGTGATGTAGTAATTATGTGCGTCGAAAACGATGAAACCAATGCAATGGAACGATAATTCAATTTAATTGGTTTCACTTGACGTATAGAGCATTGTTCTGTTCTGCTCGTCTATTTTCTGACGTACTATTTGGTTCGCATTGTGATTTATTCACATATTAACTTGTAGGCAATCGAACAACAGCTACACGCTGTTTGGCTAAAACAAACGATCATCAACACAACTGAGTTTGTACTCGGAATTGAATCGAAAGTAATGTAAAATTCATAAGTAGACGTTTTTGAATTTATCTGTGTTTGAGTTATGTGCATAAAATATGTCACATACGCTGCAAAAATTATACAGAGTCCAGAGCCTTTTCACAATGTTAAAAGAAAATTAAAAGAAGGTCATTGTCTATGATGACTAAATTGAAGAGAATGAATTGTTGCTTTGAAAATTGCTGCAGGACCAGTCAGAATGCAATCACCTTTTTTCTCTGTTTTAAGCTGAAATAATGAATTGGATACATCATAAATCAAACCTACTACTTGCTGCTCTGCCGTTGATGCTACAATCGCAACAATTTAAGACTTGTATTCATAGTCCAACGGCTTTATGTACTTTATCTACTGAAGCGCCATCTGGATATTTACCAAAGAACATATTAGTGATTTTTAGCCAAAAATTTATACAAATTTTGAATCAATTTGTGAATTTTGAAAATAAATAAATAAAAAAAAATCCAAAAAAAAAATAAAATAAATGAAGTTTTTATTCGATTTCTTTTAATTTTTCTGACTTGAGTAGTCTAGGCGGCGCTAATTACCGTTTTGAAACTTTTTTATTTGCGAACTGTGATTCGTCGAATAAATTTATGAAACGAGACGAAGTAGTGGTTGTAAAATAGCAAAAAAACGAACAGACAAATGGTGTTGATGATTCATCGAACGATATAAAACAAAATCTCATATATGCATCGTTGTTTATTTTGCATTACTGTGATTCGAGATGGTAAATTTCTTTTCGCACCTACGGATTCTTGTGTTGGAATCCTGTTTGTGTCTCTCTTCTTAAAATTTAATACGCCAAGCCGTATTGACATTTTACCAAACAAAGGCAATTAAGCCATGTATTTTGTATATATAAGCACGTATATTTCGCAAGTAACCAACATAGAGAACCATCGTAAATTACTTAACGGGAGCCATAAAATGATTTAGATTCTCGATAGACACCATACACACAATGTCAGCATCAAATGTTGTTTATGTTGTGAAATCCAATATTTATACGTACAATGAAATATGCAGTGAAGTGCATCAAATGAAAATATCACAATAACACCAACATGGAACAGCAATTATTTCCCAATGAATAAATAGAACTGTATTCGATGATTTGAAACGATGTGGTTTTGATTCTTTTTTTTCTCTTCTTTTAACTGAACATCAAATTAAATCACCGTTCGAAAGAGTTCCGCGTTGACTAGATTAGAGATGACCATTACAAAATTACTTAACTAATTCAACGGCTCGATATTAGGTCCAGGTATCTATTCTATCTCTTTCTCTCACTCTGTACCTACTAATTGCAATTGCACGCTCTAAATCGCATTATTTATTCAAATGTATATGTGAATCCACACGGCTAGTACAATAATGACAAAAATCGAGTCAGTTGACATTTTGCCCAATATAAAAGCCATCATTTCAGTTTGTGAACGTACGTATGTGATATTTTGTTCCGCGCCATTGTCTTTTTTATCAACCTAAGCTCTTTTTTTCGTTTAATGAAAATGTAAAACGATTTTTATTTCAATGGTGAAGCCAAACTATGGCAAGTCGCAGAAATAAACTTGATTTAAGCTAAATAATTATGAATGACAGTTACTGTCACGTGCACAACAGTACACACGATAATTGCGTTGAATTCGATTCGCGGAAAAAAAAAGAAATAGAAAAAACAAGAAACATAAAGGGAAAAACGAGTGAAAAAGAAATGGTGGGCTTTCATTTGATTCAGCGCAAAATAACCTAAACAAACAATAACACAAAAAAAGGCAACAATCAACACACCAACAATTATATATATATCTTTTTCTGTACCGATGCACATCCAATATGGATCGTTCCGGAAACTAGAAAAACCACACACATATATATAGATTATAGAACAAATAATTTTTGCTAACCATACTGGATGCTATTTTCATCATTTGAATTCATTTTCCTAAATCAAACATTGTATCGCTTGAATTGCTTTTCGAGTGTTTTTTTTATTATTCAAATATTTTTCGAGCTGATTACATGCTATGACGTCGTTATTGTGCTAGATAAAATAGAATGAAACATATCTGGCGAACGGGATTTGAGGTAGAAATGAAAGAAAGAAAGAAACGCACCTGATCATAGTACAGCGGCAAAGAGACACAATGTCGATTTTTTGTCGATATGTCAGCCTCACTATCTGATGGTGTTGAGATATCCTTGAAATGCTCTGAGTTTTTACGATGTGGTGAAACGGTGTGTGTAGGCCCATTATCAATGTTGTCCATATTGTTTTTAAAAGAAATTCAATGTAAAATCCTGATTTGCAGCATATAGAGAAATTGTTATTATGCAGCATAGCACAAAAACCGTCTCTCAATTGATAAAGTCTTTATTTCGTTTTCACCAAACATTAAATCCACAATATTTGAAATCGTCGTTTTCACAAATGTATAAAAATAATTTTTTTTTAGAACAGAAAAAAAAATCAACCGTAGAGAATTAATATACGAACATGAATAATTGCATGGTACAATTGTAATGCAATTTGAAGTTGGGTGTCGGGCGTGTTCATTGTAGCGACACTTTATGGCCCGAAATGCATATTTCTCATAGTCTCACACTTTTTTTCATTGTTTGTGTAGTGTTCGGAGATAATTTCATCGTGATAAATTGTTTCCTTTATCACACTAGAATTTTGACATTGTACCTTTGGCCAAATGTATGCTCAATAATAAATACACACATGCCGATAACATAATATGTTTGATGAAAAAAAAAAAATTCTCACACACAATGATTTAGCCCGTTTATTTTGTTTTGGAATCACTTTGTTCTGTTTGTCATTTAATAGTGATTTTTTCTATTAAACATAATTTAATTTTCTTGTCTTATTTTCAACCACACATACCGCCATCGAAAACTATCAATTATCACATTGGTTTTGTGTATTTCAATGCAAATGCGTTGATTTTATCAAAATACATTCAGGAGTTAAGAACATCTAGAGCATAAATAATTGTTTGTAATGCATACGAAATGAAGTTGAATGAAATAATATGAACAAATTTTAACATTTCAATATCAATCACCATCACACAGGAAGTATTGAACTGAGCCTATTATCGGCTATAATATTTCATTAAAACAAGCTTCTATCACGGTTTTGTTTCACTTAAAAACTTCACTAAAAATCGTACGCAAACCAATTTAAAAATTAATTTTTGAATATTCAATTTTATGTTTTGTCTCTAGACATCTATATAACTTTCCTTTCATTTCGATTTTGTGTGTTTGACGACTTGTGTGTTTTCACTTTTACAGATTGACGGGATTGCCCGATGCATGAAGTGTTTTCTGTCATTTGCACGGGTAACAATTTAATGGAGGAGTTTCGGTAAACCGCACATGAACACTTCACCCGCATCAACATTTCAACTAATCCGATTGAAGCTGATGATCCGATCCAAATAAGATTCAAATAATGTGGTCAAACATGGTGTTTTTATCGATTCCTATTAGACGGATTGCGATAAATATTTCCATTTTGACTATTTTTATAGTAAATAAATATCAAAAAGGAAAATAAATTACATTTTTCATAATTGTCATATTATGCCATCTAATGGTCGACAAAATCATTTCGAGACAGTTGTGCATTGCGAAAACGGTTGTACCCATCGCCGGACAATTTTCCAATTGGTATTTTCAATTTGAATCTTTTTTATCTCCTTTCGTTTTTTTGATGAAGAACTACATATCATTAAAATATTTAATGCATTCGCTAAAATTAAATTCGACGAAAAATAGAATCTCCTCTACTTTTGCATGTTTTTTTTTAAATCACGAGTATTCAAATACGCTCCATCTTTCGTACAATAGGTTATATTATAAATTAAATTAAATTAAATGATCTTTGATTCCCATTCCTTGCACTACTTACCTCTTTTCTCACTTCTTTTCTATTCTTATGAACATGAAATATTACACACTTATTTTTAGAGACATTTTCTTTAATTAGTATCATTTTTCCACATCATTGCTGCATATTTCTATTATTTTTTTTTTATACATTTAATGTTTCAAAGCGATTTTTTTTGTCGCAAAAAGCGAAAATTCTGTGTGACTTATTGAATCTATCTATTTTTTTCCGTTCTGCTGTTTACCAACAAAACCACGTGCAATTTTTATTCAGATGACCATTATATACAGTTTCATAATGGGTTTGAAGCGTCAAGTTCCGTTATATCAACAATGTCACACCATATCTTTTTTATTGAATTTTGACTGTTATTCATTTATGCACGTAAAACGATACAGTTGTTATGTGAATTTGTTGGCAGCGATTATAATTTGTCATTACTTATCTCGCTGTATGTCGAAATATAGCGAAAATGAAGAGCGTGCAATTTCAATGCTGCAATGAGCAGCAAAACAAAGAATCGCAACGAAAACAAAAAGATCATGCCATAAATTAGAAATGATTTTTTTCTTGCTTCTACAAAATACAAACCTGTGTACAAAATCTAGTGTCATCTGACAATGACATTTATATTTCTCTGAATATATTCTTTGACGAAGACATTTGAATAAAATGCGATAAACAAAACGACAACATCTAAATGAGTGATTTCGTATTTTTAATGATTTTTTATTTAGAAAACACAAAACTAACGCACGTTTATTCCATTCAATTTTATAATTTATTTTTGTTTAAATTGTTCTTGTTTTTTGTTGGTTTTTTTTTTATCATCCTTAGCTGTTCATTACGGATAATTCATTTGTCACTGTTTAGCTTAATTAGATTCTTCAATCATTCAATCGTTTAAATGTAATGCTTCTTAATTTGTTTTTGAAACACGAGAGTCAGTTTAGTCGGCGCACCACAATTCGATGCATATCAAAGAAAGTCGAAAATAGGAATAAAACACTCGAAGAAATTATAAATTAACAAAGAAAAGAAAAACTAATAAAAAAATATCGAAAAATAAATAATAAAAAAAAAACAAAATTTAAAAAATAAACTACTGTAATAGTTGTTGTTATTAATTAAACCTATAATTTGTTGAAGAACAAAAAAAGCCAGGAGGAAACGGTTTTTTTTGGTAGATATTACCTTTTAATTTTTGACGAATTGTTAACTGAACTGAAATGCACAATTCACACTGACCGAGACAATAATATCCCTTGGTTCACAAAAATACATCAAAAGCGCAATATCATGTGTCTCAGTGCAGCAGCAATTGTCATAAAGTGTGTGTGTGGAATGATCGAATAACCGTAAATTGTATTTCTGATACTACATTTCAATATGAATGAAAGATTGATTTACGAAAAATTTGATTCTCTAATGACATTTGGTTTATTTGTTTTTTTTTTTGTGTGCCTAGTATTCTTTTAATTTTAAACGAATTGCATTCTACCCACATTTGGAATGGGGCGGGAGAGAATATAGTTGAATTTTAAGTAAAAAAAGGTAAGAAATTTGATTTGACAAGTTAAACAAGAATAAACGAAAACATGTGTGTATGAATTTATAATTCTCTCTTGGTTTTGCATTATTTTTTTTTTTTTTTTTGAAATCGGGTTTTCGTCAGTATATGCGATTAATTTCTTCCGTCTGTACCAACACGACTTCCATTATGAGTTGATTCTTTCACTCCTCTTTTTTTTTGAAGTGGTTCATTTGTTTATTTGTTTTTTTTATGTTTTTTTGATTTATTTTCACAATCAATATCTAAATGTTTTGTCTTTCACGTATTTTTCCTTCCGTTTCGATTCAATCAACAACAAAAAAAAGTATGTATGAAAAGAAAAACAAATGCAAAATGAAGAGAAAAAGAGTTATGGTTTCGTTATAAACAAAATGCGAACTGTGGCTAAGTTTTTATTAAATTAAGTAATAGCAATATTAATTATTTATTTCCATGTATATTGTGTGTTTTGTTGTGTGGCTGTTGCTGGATGTGTGAAAATGTAATAATCCGGTTAACTGTTCTGACAGTTTTGTTCTGGTTTATTTTGAATTTTGCAAATTTTTTTTTTTTTTTGGTGATATTGTTTCAGTTATTATTTTTTTTTGTTGTTGCTTTCTCTTATTGTTTTTCTGCTTTTTAATTTCAGTTTACAATAAATTTTAGCTCAGTTGTATGTGTTTCCGTTCTCTTTCAGTTTTTTTATTGAAAATTTTTTAATAGATTTTTTGTGATTTTTTTTGTTGTTATTTACTTTTAATTCTTTGCCTTTACTCTCATTTTTTTTTCATCCGGATGATGCTGTTGCAAATTTTTATTATTCTCATGCGATTCTTTGGAATCGATATAAGAATAATGCAATTATTGTGTGTTTTTTTATTCATTTTGACGGATTGATATTTTTCTCTCTTTTATTAAAAAGCATCACATCACATAGCATATTTCCGGGTCCATTCCCGTGCTAGCTCATTGTATTTTTCGCGATCGGTTTTGTATATTCTTGCAATCTCAGGAACTAATGGATCATCTGGATTTGGATCACACAGCAGAGAGCAAATTGACAGCAGAACTGCAATTGAAAAGGAAAATATTAGAACTCATGGATATTTCGGCCAATTTAAAAAATAAAAAACAAAATTTCAATTATCGAATGAAATCGGTACCAATTAACAAGAATATCGTCACAATTTCGATCAATCGACTTTTTTGTTGCAAATGGTCCAAATAATGAGTATTAATAATAGTTATTTCTATTTTTCATTTTTATAAATTGAATCCTTAGTTTACCTTTTGATATAGTTAACGCTGGAGACCATTGAGATCTTAATATGTCCAAACAAATCGAACCATTACTGTTAATGTTGGGGTGGTATATGCGCGTTGTGAAAGCCACTTTTGGTGGTTTGAACGGGTAATCTGTCGGAAAATGTATTGTTAAGAAGAATACACCACCTTGATACGGACTGTCCGGCTGTAAAAAACAAGATGAACATCATTAGCAATCCAGGTTGTTTGTTTTCGTAATGTGCTCAACAAAAGGAAAATTGCATCAAAGAAAAAGATCAACTTACGGGTCCCATGATTGTTGCTTGCCAATGAAACACTGTGAATTAAGAAAAAAACAAACGTATTAAAATAAAAATCGAATTATTTCATTATAAAGGTGTCTGTTTGTGAAATGAATTTAATGCCATAATGTGTATGGCCATATAGATTAAATGGTGATTTAAAATGTTATCTAGTTCCGTTGCTTTAATACACTAAACATGTTGTATTGAAAGACGTACACATGAAACGCAGATATTATTTTTGCATTTATTGTTTTGATAATTTGTAAATGGTTGTTCAAATTACCAATGCGTATAAATGCTCTATTGACATATTTACAACTTGCATACAAGAAATATTATACAGCAGCTCTGGGTTTTCAATTTCCGATTCCTTCAGCCTAACAAATATTGTCCTACATGCGACACATCGATAGAATATTGATAATATTGTTTCTCACTTAAAAAAAGCCTTTTCTCTACATCTTGATATGAAGCATTGCGCTCATGACATGGTATTGTACAGGAATCAAGCCAAGAAATTAGATAAACGAGTGATTGAATTCGAAAAAGAAACAGACAGAGCGAGAGAGTGAGACAGAGAGAAAGATCGTGCGGGAAAAATAAATGAAAAAAAAACAACGTAATTAAATCAACTTTATCTAAATATGATGCGGTTGCTGAGGTATGTGAAAATGACGTATTTTAAAATATGGCATACATTCATAAATATCGGTTCGAATTCGTTCGACGTTTCCCACCTTTAAATGTCTTGTTTTGTATACATTAACATCTGTATTCGTTCGAAATTTTCGTATGTGTATTGTTATTTCATCACTGAATGGAGTATACACGCAAAATGAATGACAGAAATGCCATTTTCTTCACAATTGAAATAGCAGCAAGAAATGCCAATACTTTATATTTTATGCTGGCAAGATACATTTAATTGAAATCATATGAAAGGATAAAGGAGCACAACAATAGTGTGCGACAAGGAGCTTATAATCTTGATTGACAACATTCCGAATTTTTCATGTTAACGAGAGACATAAAACACACACAACATTTTTCGCATCACAACGTTTCGCATTTCAACAAACGCAACGACATGACCAATATGTCGTCAATAAGCAGCGTGGTTCTCTGTGATAAAATTGATTTTAAAAGATAAATTTTCAAGTAGACATCAACATTAAACTTCTATTATGAGCGATTCAAGGAATCATTTATAATTACATGAATGCCGAGCATTTTTTCTTCTTCTAAATCATAAACAATGAACGATTGGAGTTAGTCAAATAAAAACGAGTGAATTTTCAGAGAAAAATCAACATATCAACGCAATACATTTTCTTTGTCTTATTGTATAACCGGCGTGTCGACTGGCGAATGAAGAACACAGACACGATATTCACCTATACTGTTGTAAAATAGAAACGCGACACAAGCGCGTACACATTTAATACTACACACAAAGACTTTATCCCAAGTTGTTGTGCTGCTGTTGTTTTTTTTCTCTCTCGCAAAAAGAAGTGAGTGAGAGGCAGAGAGTGTGAGTGTGAGAGAATAAAAAGTAATCGCGACAAATAAACAATATCATCATCGTCACCATGAATATGACCATAATGTACTTTTAGCCGTTTGCTAAAATCAAAAGGCAAAGTGCAATTTCAACGTAAAAAAAAGTTCATTGTTTACATTACGTTAAAAAAAAACAAAGAAATAGAATGTATGTATTCATTGAATGCAACATACGATACATTTTATGCGCAAGCAAATTGCATGTGTGTGTGTGCGTAACATCTTTTTTCGTACATACACGCACACATTGTACCGCTTTATACATCGTGACGTATACTCATTTTTATGTCTTATTGAAAAAAAAAATTTGTCTGCTCAACAATAACAATACATGCAATATTTGCACAACTTCGACTTATTCTCTCCTCTTCGATAAACATGTACGATGTGTGTGTTGCTTTCATTTCCAATGTTTAAGGGAATACAATTAACTTCATGTAAATGGAAGAATCTGGATCACATGAAAAATTCAATTTTGATTGTCACTTTTCGAAAAGGTGCCGATATTCTGACGAATGAAACTAGTTAAGAAGAATTAAAATGACGTTTATTTCCAATCGGAATCAATTAGAAAGCCGAGTCACGGCTGTCAAACAAATACATTCAACAAGAATATAGCATTCGTTAGAATGAATGACGTTGAGGGCAGAGAGAGCGTGTGTGAGAAATTAACGTAACTATAAATTCATTGTGTGCTGAAATTGGAGTCTGGCTGTGTGTCGAAATCCGATTTTTTCGAAATACGGATTTATATAAAAACAGTTAGTCAAAATTGACAAACGTGTCGAATGGTTCAATTCGTAATAAGGCAAAGTACAAAACGATCAAAAATACTTTTTATATCAAAGAATTTGAGCTCTTGAACAACAATGAATTCAACAAATGACGACGAATGATTATTCGAGAAGCAAAATGCGCTGAAATTCAAAACGAAGCCTTCATAGCCCATATCTTCTGAGATTGAGAGCGGCATGGGAATGTTTTCATCAACATCTTCTTTAGAATATATTCACTTAAATAATTGCCGCACATACACAGTGTGTATGGGTAATTCACACGAATTCAATATTTAAAAAAAAGTTATTGTATTATTTTACATCCTTTCAAATGTCTTTTGACTCATTTGGCACAAGATTTTTTAGCCCAAACATTAACACCGACAAACGTCTTGTGCTCTTACTTCGCGGCGACAAGTAATATCAGCACTTCAACATGTATTTGCAAGAATATAAACACTGATTGCCGTTGTTCCGTCTGCATGTGTGTGTGTCTCTCTCTCTCTCTTCATCTGTCTCACTGTACTTCACTTTCAGTGTATGTGCTTACGCTTGTATGTATGATTATACATATGAGAATTGATGACGTTATATTTTATGTTTTTTTAAAATGCGAATCAAAAGCAGCGAAATAATTTCAAATGAATAATTGTTTTCGAACTCAATGAATCCATATTCTGGTCAGTTTTTGGTTGGCATTCAATGATATGCAAGATCCACTTAGAATTCGCAAACGAAATAGAAAGCCAGAAAATTCACGCAGCCCCCTCCGATTATCAATATGTGTCGACAACAAAAGCTAATCACATAATAAACATTTACAAAAATTAACTTATAATGTTCACAAAGATGTGAAGCGTGAGGTTTTACGATGGATTCAGCCATTGTAGTGCATGGAGTTCATCTTGAAAATACCGTCGATAAACGCTAAATCGTTTTGAATAATACAAATAGATAGACACAAACAAACAAAACAAACAACAGAAAAAAAAAATCGATGGGCTGCACAACCAGCTGCACAATGCTTACAAAATCACCAAATAATCGGAGCAGGCATATGTTGGATAAAATGTGTTTGTTTAATGCAACTTACAGTCGTCACCAACTGGGCCAGCGCTGCACTGAGCTGGAGGATCTCGACCAAGATCTTGCAGTTCCTATAGGAAAAAAGAATGAAAAATACAAAATCCAAATATTACATTAGAATATTCGATGAATGAACGACATATCTACGCGATATTTCATTTCCCGTTGTGATATAAGCAATTTATTCGCGGCCGCGCGACTAGAAATTTAGATGAAATTGGCTCAACAAAAAAAAAACAAAATTTTTTTTTACAATAATAGGATATTGTTTACGAAAATAGTCACACCATGACTGTTCAACTTATGGTGCGTGGTTTTGAAACTTTCTTTTGCCGCACATTGCTCACACATATATTCGTTACATTGAATGCATAACATCTCGTCAAATTTGTTGAATTTTGTGTGTGTGTGTGTTCAATTTGAATTTTGTGACTCTCGAGAATTGGCTTTCTCTATTAATATGAATGCAATATTAGATTAAAAAAAAATTATACGAGCATGCGATGATTTAATTTGTCAACCAAAAAGCATTAAAATGTACATGTTGCAAAGGGAAAATCGATAATCAATTGTATTCATCATGCACTGAACACACAAAAAAATATACAAGGTTTTTCCACACTGAAAAAAAAAAATTATAAATAGTTTTCCCTCATGTTTTTTTATATTGTAAGCGAACAAAAGAAATGTTGTCGAATTTGCTTGAGAGTTTGAGAGAGAGAGTGAATAAACTCTTTTCCGAATGGAGAGCGAGAGAGAGAGAGAGAGAGAGAGAGAGAGAGAGAGAGAGAGAGAGAG